AAAAAAACCTAAATACTCTCTGGTATTGTTCTAGGGGCCGGACCAAATGGAGAGACGGGCCGGATCCGGCCTGCGGGCCGTAATTTGGGGACCACTGCTTTACGTCTTTCTTTTCAAACCACACCGTAAAAAAGGACAAAAATTCTGAACACCAAGGTTTTCCTTGAATTGCCGTCTGAAGCAGAAATAATAACCTTCATTTCTGCAGCCTGTTCACATCATCATGAATCACATTTTGAGCTTTAAAATGAAAAAAAAAAAGTGTCATATAATTCCGTTCTAACAGAGGTAAAACAGAATCCAACAAGCAACACCTTCAGCTCCAAAAGGACACAGAGTACCAGCGGTCAGCTGCTCCACTCTGACATATTGCTGTTAGATTTCAGGTCATCTAATTAGAAAAAGTGGATGAGAAGTTCACAGCTCTGACGCCGAGGGAGCGGGCAGACGTGGTGGAAGAGAGTCTGTTCTTTTATTTGTCTGTAAAAACTCGCAAAACACCGGCTTCATCAAAACCCGAGCAGCTTTACTCGAGTGTTTTGTTGTTGTTTTGTAATGGGAGTCAGAAAAAAAAAAGCGTCTCGACGTCGTGCATCAGTGCTTGGCATGTGATGGTATCTGAAAGGGTAAGTGATACAGATAATGACGTCTCATCTGCAGACAGCATTTTTGTTTCGAGCAGCTTTGTCTGTGTTTATGATTACTCATGCTCGTCTCTGCGTGAGAACTTCAGTGAAGGTTAGTGCACTGCAATAATAATAATAATAATAATAATAATGATAAAAATCTCAGTGAAAATAGTTTAATACATCACAGTCAACAAAAAAGCCCTCTGTTGGGGTTAAAAAGTCATCCGAGTAATTTTTTTTAAATTTGCAGAAATAAACAAGAGTTAACAACTTTGTGACGCATTTGCACATTTTTTTAAACTCACAAATGACAACACACAACATGCAACATCTCTCAGGGAGGCAAGATAAAACAATGGGTCCGACATGATCTGAGATTCTACCTGCAGTTGCTAAGCAACACCCACCTCCAACCTCTCAGCCCGTCCCATTGGTCAGCAGGAAAAACGCACAAGGAGCCCTATTGGCTCCCAGAAAGTTAATAAACTTTAGCCAAGACCTGCCTCCCTGTGTGCGCACACACTCCCTCCATCTCTCTCTCTCTCACACACACACACACACAATGAAGAGATTCTTGTGAATGAGAGCATGAGAGGGTGTCAGTGCTTGCGCAGTACAGTGCTGATATATGCGTTGAGCTCCTGAGCTAAAAATAAAGATCACACTGAAACGCTGTGCCACTGAAAGTTGCAAGACTGAATTCAAAGTGACAAGTCTAGTTCTCTCCAGACGGAGCAACCAGGTCCCACCCTCATAATAGATCCACAAAGTATTTTATTATTATTAAACTTTAGCTTTAAGCACAGTGTCCTGATAAAAGCTGAAGCATTTCTTAAGGCTAAAAATGCAACGCAGGGCAGCCAAAAATATCTCCAAGATGCAATTCTGAACACATACTTTGCAACAATTCACAGACTTGAAKATTTAGAGCTCCTCCACAGCCCATTTATGGAACCTCAAGCATGTTCAGATTTACAACCCCATTTCTAAAAAAGCTGAGGGGTTGTATGAAATGTAATTAAATGCACTGATTTGCACAAGTCTTAAATCTTAATCAAAGAAAAGTTGATCAGTTGTTTTAACACAGATCATGAACAATCTTTAATTTTTATCTATCTGTATGGAGGACTGAAGATGACATTGTCAAAAAAGCAGAAATATATAAATGGACTAATAAATAAATACACTGAAAATGCACGAATTGACTTAAAAAAAGGAGAACTTTACCTCATATTTTATAATTTAATTGACCATCAAGTTTATTTTTCCAGATGAGTTACAACATTTTAGCACACAATTTAAATGTTACTATTTTATTTCCATGTGTTTTTACATGTTTCTGTCTCCTGTTTTTACTTTGTTTTATGCATTTCTATCTCATTATGCAAATAAGGTGGGCGGTCCTTCTTGGGTCAGCTCCCCTACTATTGGTTAATAGGCAGGAAGGAGCAGGACCCATGTGCAGATCAATTATGTATACTTGTTTAAGCTTGGTTTAAAACAATCACACAGGTGTTTTTCCTCCTTCCTTTTTTTGTTTTGTTGGAACTAAGCTGGAAGAATAAATGTTAAATTAAAAAAATTCAAGGTAAATATATCATTTTTACATTAACTGGTGCTTTTTAAATGTATTGGTCCATTTTTCATTTCTGGTTTTATTTTTAATTATGTCAGTCTCCGTCCTCCATACATATGGGATCCAGCGGTACGCCATTCAGATATTATGAAATAAATTTTCAAAAACCCTTTGACAGAAAGTTTGTTACTTTTCATCCATCTGTTTTGTTGATATTTATATTTTCCCCTCAAAATATTGGATTGACAGGCAAATATCAAATTTATGCAGAAGTTATTTTTTCGTTTTGTTTATTTCTTGGTGTAACCCCCTGCCCCCCCAATAATTCATTCAGTGCAGTAAAACTTAATCACCACTTTCACTTTCAACAGCCAAAGTACAAAAAGCCAAATATCTCATTGTAGAAGAATGATTTAATGACTTAAAAACAGAGTTTTAGTACACATTTTTATTATGCAGTAACTAGAAACACTAAAATTTTAACTGTACAAAATAAAACTAAAATAAAAACAAACAGCTCTGAACAGAGTAGTTTTAGTTTTACTAGCTGCCCTGTGAGAGACAATCCCCTAAGACACAATTGCTGTTTTACACACTGGATTAAAACTACATAATGTTTGTAAAACAGAGGTCAACCACAAGCTAAAGATCCAGAGCGGGTTAGAATACAAATGATTCTATGAATTGTAGGAAGTAACACTTGAAATACAACAGTGGTTTTATACAATCAAGTAAAATTTGACTGCAGTGCAACAGAAAATGATGCACTTGAACAGTGAAAGTGTCACTCACACGAGAGAATGTCCGTTTTAGTTTTATTTACAAAAATCAAATATGGACGGAGAGGAAGAGTGAAAATGTCCAAGAAGGCAGAAGAGCCTGACTTTAGATCTGTTTGACCACTCGTCTGATCTGCTGGGAGGTTTTTTGGAGAAAGGACCCAGATTTCTGGGTTCCGAGGAGGTTGAGATTCCCTTCAGAAACGCTCCTCACCACTCTGCCGGGCCTGTTCTCGGAACCTGGGGTCAAATGTCAAACAAAGATCCACATCAAGAATAAACAGCGAGAGTAAAGAACTCATACTGATCAACCAGGTAATTAACGTTAAGAGATATTTAAATGGTTTTCCAAATGGTTTGACGTGTCGAGATGTGGAAGTTTTTTCTGTTTACCAATGAAACGCTGCACTCTGAGCGGCCTCTGAACCACTGAGGTGTCTTTCTTTACACGCTTCGGAGCCGAGAACTCCTGAGTCGTTTCTTCTCTGACGCTGCTGTAAGAATAAAACAGAAAAAAAAGTATTTTAAGTTTTCAATATTCAATATCAAATTTATGATGCACACATTAGAATAAAATGAACGATTACCGGTTAAATTTTCGTTTTCCTTGCACAGCAGACTTCATGCCCATGTAGGTTGGGTTGGGTCGTCTCTCGTCTTGCAAAGGTGCCATGTGTTTTCTGCAGAGTGAATGTTTAATATGCTGATTCAAATGACTGAAAATTGATTTTATTTTCGCTTTCTTGCATGAAAAGCTCCCTATAAGAAACCATATTTATGGGGTAACAGGTTTGTTTTGTTACAGATGAAATATTACCACCAAATACAGTTTTTCTTTCATGTTTGCAACTTTAGGGTTTAAGACCTCCTGAGCCTCTTCAGCCACTCTTCCAGAATGTAAACCTGCAGCTGGTGACAACGCTTGGTGTTTGCACTTTGATTTGGATCTGCTTTTGAATAAGGTTTGGAGGATTTTCTACTTTTGGATGGAAACATTAAACAGAGGCGCTTTGAAGTATTATCTAGATTCTTAAACATTTCATGGAAACATTTTGTTTAGTCCCTTCTGTGTAATTA